ACTTTTGGAAGATTTTTTAAATATGTATACTCTGATTTCGCGACTCCCTCTTCTTTTTAATCACCTTGCTGCTAGAAAGTTGCTCAAAAAGCATGTCAGCGTCAGATTATATTCGTCGTCCAAAATATTTTAACTGTAATTGTTATATTTGGTTCTCGAAATTGAAGTGTGATACTTTTCACTTGCTGCCTAGTAACTCTTGGTTTTTTTGAAATGAATTCTGGTTGTAATTGGCTAAATCTTGAATTACCTCCTACTGTTTTGCTAGTCTCTTAAAATCATTCAGTGCGTAAAAGTCTTACGTGGCACAGTAGCAAAAAGCTGGTCTGAGGGGGTTTAACTATTTTCCTGATATGCAGGAGCTGAAGGATATGTCAAGAGTAAATGACACGTTACGGATGGAAAATGAGGCGCTGGTTCGGGTTCTTTCTAAGATGAGTCGTCAACAAAGTCCTCCAGCCTATCGGTATCGCATCCAAATAATTCCTAGTTCTTTAAAATCTGTAAAGTTGCTTATCGATAAGCATATTTTTTGTTGCCAAGCCCCTCAGTCAGCTAATTACTGGTCTTTTGCATGTCCTAACGTTGTACCTTTCTGCCTGTTTGTAATAAGTATTTCTTTTGTTCATTCAAATAATCCTTCTAAATTTTGTTCATTTAATTTTAAATTTTTGGCAGCATGCTTAGATTGTAAATTGGTTTATAATTTGATTAATGTCTTTCACGTTTCTGTTAGAATGTATTATTATATGCAGTTCTTATGCACAGATGACGGCAGCGAACTGTCAGCTAAGAGCCTAGAGGTTCGCTCACAGTAGCATTAACACTGATCATGTTGTTTTCCTCACTTCCAGTTGTATTTAATTTTTTTGGATACTTTACTTCTGACTCATTTTTTAAGTTAAAATTTTGTTGCAGCAACTTGAACACCTTCGCGCGGATAACCAAAAGTTGAAGGAAGAAAATGGCGCCTTAATACGTGTAATTTCAAAGCTCTCGAAGTACTTTCTTAAACTTGTTTTTCTTGCCAATAAGTACGAAGTTTTATCGGTGTAGCCACTTATTTTTAAGCTTAACATTTTAAGTTGCCCGTGTAATTGGTGTTTGAGAGTTCAGTTTGCTTTTGAATCTTTAGTCTGACTCTTTTTAGAAAGCTTTTAATGGTATATAGAGAAATCCAGTTTCATGAAGGAAAATTTGAGCAGTGATTTTAAAATTTCCATTTACCCTACGCAGCATCTACTAATTTTATTAGTATTAGTAAATAAATATCTTTTTTAGGCGATGACCTTAAAATTT